CGGCTCCTGGCTCGCGTCGCGGCCTCCGGCCGGGTCGAAGACCAGCTTGGAGCCCGCGGGCCGTGGGCTCCTGGCGCCCAGGTGCGCCCGGACCTTCCCCCTGGGCGCAGGTGGCGGCATCAGGACCACGGGTCTGGACGTGCCCGCCCTGGAGGCGATGACCGGCGGCTTCTTCAGGGGCCGGGGCCGGAGGAACGCGGAGCTCCGCAAGTAGAAATCCTGGGGGCAGAAGGGCCGGGTCTTCCCGGAAGCGGCCGCCTCGCTCGGGCCCGGGGGCCGCGCTGCGCCTCGGGGCGCCGGCTGCGGGAGGGCCGCAGCGAGGGGCGCACGGCCTTTGGCCCGAGGGGAGCCTGGTGGCTTTTGGGGTCTGGCGCGGGAAACGCTCCACTTCCCCCCATGCTGGGCCGGAGCGGGGACCCGGAGGCCGAAAACAGGGACTTCACCCACAGCCGGCTTGGAGGCCAACTTCTCCTTGAATCGGAGAAATTCCTTTTTAGTCTCCTTGCGAACCTTCTCAAGCTCTTTAAAGATGTACGATTCTTCTTTGTATTTCAGTCCAAAGTGCTTAGAAATCGTGGACATCTGGACTAATTTGTCCTGTGAAATAACAGTAAATTAATATTATACATATATACATGAAAACTACTGATAGACAAAATTCCAGCTCAAAAAAGCTTCTCATGGTAGAGCACTCACTGTGCTTGCTGAAGCACGATGGGTAGTATTCGCTTATATCATTTTAAATCCAACTATTGGCCTTTTCACAGGAATAATGAAAAACCTTTAAATCAGTAACATTTTCACAGTAAGAGTTTCCAAAACCCCTACTGGGTTTACTTTAATGTTTCTTTAGACTATAATGTAGTGCCCCAATTCCAGGCAAGAGAGACCACAGTCCACATAGGCCTAGAAAATCTAAAGTAACCCTGCCAAGAAGAGAGAACAGAGGTCAAATGTGGCCTCGATCCTACCTGCAAACATGTTTTTCAATTGCTCAGGGTTTTTCAAAAATATTAATTCATAGCCAACAATTTTAAATTTAGAGATTTTCATATGAAAATGCAGATTTGCAGTTTCTCTGGAAAAAAAAAAAATGAAGAGTACACAAGAGTACTCTTGTGGCAGGGTAGCAATTTCCCTTTACTTCTCCAGCTGGTCCCGGCTGTCTCCATTTCTTACCCAGCCCACTTGCCTCAATGTTTGACAAGAAATAAAGCAGTGTGTATGAAGGGAGAGAGGTGATCAGCCACAAGGTAGGCTGCAGTGAGATCAGGAGGCCTTGAATGCCAACTGTTTGTACTTTTTCTGTGGGCTACTGGAAACCATTCAAAAACTTTTAACAGAAAAGTGGCTTGATAGGTTCTGGGGCTTGGGGGATACTAATGTTAAGTGGGAGAAAGAATAGAGAGAGGGCAAGTATGAGTCTGCAAGGCCTAAGGCCTGGGTTTGGTAACAGAGCCTAGTGAAAATACTATATAAGGTAAAACTGATAGGATCTGGCCAATGACTAGGGATAAATAAAATAGCAATTTTGAATCGCTTTGATGAAGTCTTGGTCATAACCAAGTACATAAGAAAGCTGTTGCTAGTCACTGAACTTTACGCTTAAAAACTGTTAAGATGGTAAATTTTATGTTTATGTGTGTTATCACCATATAAAAGAAAAACTTATGCTATTCAGCAGAGCCAGCTATCTATGATAACAAGTGAATTTTGAGATCTTGAAAGCTCTGGGATCAATACCAAAAGCCAGGATAACAAGAAATACAAATAGAGAATGGCTAATGACAGAGTCTTCCGACACTCACAGGTGGGAGGTGGGAGGAGCTAGAGCAATCACAGAGTTGGGAAAATGAGAAGAGAGTTCCACAGAACCCAAGGAGAGAAGTGTCAAGAAATAAGGGTAAAACAATGAAAATAAAAGCAGAAAGTAATAAATTAGAAAAACTAATTTACTTATTTCTTAGAAAACCCAAGGCCAAGGTTCTTTGAAAATAAAATAAAATAATAAAGCAGAAATACCTCTGGAATATCATCATTATTTGCAAATGTGATTATCTACCTAGAAAACATAAGCACTAAAAGAACTGTTTAGGGCTTCCCTGGTGGCGCAGTGCTTGAGAGTCCGCCTGCCGGTGCAGGAGACGCGGGTTCGTGCCCCGTTTCGGGAGGATCCCGCATGCCGCGGAGCGGCTGGGCCCGTGAGCCATGGCCGCTGGGCCTGCGCGTCCGGAGCCTGTGCTCCGCAAATGGGAGAGGCCACAACAGTGAGAGGCCCGCATAACGCAAGGAAAAAAAAAAAGAACTGTTTAGAATTATAATAGAGATCTGCAAGGCATTTAAATTTTTTTAATTAATACGAAAAAAACCCAATAACTTCCTTTACACCAAAAACATAATGGTAAAATTCCATGTATAATTTATTTAAAGGAGTAAATATCTAGGAATAAACATAACAAGAAATGTGCTGAAACTTCATGAATAAATTTTTTAATTTTACTGAAGGACATAGAAGAAAGACTACTAAATAGGCAGTTAATGTTCCTTAGTAAGAAGACCAAATATTTTAATGTTATCAGGTCTTCCCAAAATACTGTACTGGTTTAATGCCATCATAATCAAAACTGAAAAATGATATTTTGAAATTTGAAAAGTAATTCTGGATTCATTTGAAATAATAAACAGGGTAGATTAGCCAAAATTTTGAAAAAGAGAAATGAGGGAGCACTTGTCCAGCAAGACAATTAAAACTCATATGGATATAAGAATTAAAACTGAAACACTGCCGATAGAATCCACATGTAAACTGAATGAGCAAAAGAATTAAGAATAATATGGGTTATATTATAATAACAGCATTAAATTGGTGATAAAAGAAGAATTAATCAATAGATTGTGCTGAGGCAGTTGGTTGACTATGATGGGGGTAGGGGTGGGTGGTGAGGGGGATTACTGCATTTTATGCCAAAATACAATGGGTTAAAACAGATATGGAAAGAAATATTTTCTTATGTTCCTTTGCATTTCTTTGCTTATCACCTGTCCACATTTCTTGGTTGAATTTCTTTTATATCACCTCATAAGAGAGTTATTTTTACAATTAGATTTCTTCGTTTATCATGTAGTGAGAGCAATATGAAGAAAACATCCTCTTTAGCCTCTAAATAAAGTCATATTGCTTTTAATCACTAAAATAGCCATTTTTGGTTCTCCAATTCAAGAC